CAACAACTGAGATGAAATGGATCCTAAATGACTCAAAATACCAAAGGTCACTGAAGAGGAAATAGATAACATGGAGTCATATATCTATTAAATAAATTGTAGGTGAAAATTTTCCCACACGTACACACACACACACAAAACAAACTTCAGGTCCACGTGCCTTCACTGGGTAATACTTCCAAATCTGTAAGAAAGAAATAATATCAGTTCTACACATAGTCTTCCAAAAAATTGAAGGTAAGGAAATATTTCTCTACTTACTTTATTAGACTAGCATTAATTATCCTGATACCAAAGCTAGGCAAAGATAGTACAAGAAAAGAAAACCAGAGACCAGTACCTTTCATGAACATATATACAAAAATCTAAACAAAAATGACCAAGTAGGGTTTATCTTAGAGTGCAAGGTTGTTTTACTATTCGATGTTTACTAATTGATCAAAATTATATTAACAAATAAAATAAACCATATTATGATCATCTCAATAAATGCAGAAAAAGCATCTGACAAAATCCAACATCCACTGTGATTTAACAAAACAAATAGGGCAAGGGGTGTACTTAGTGGTAGAGCACTTGCCTAACATGTACAAGGCCCTGGCTTTGATCCCCAACACTGCAAGAATAAATAAATAACCTTTTAACAAACTAAGAATGGATGGGAACATCCTCAACCTGATAAAGGGCATTATGAAAAAATCTGTAGCTAATAGCATCTTTAGTGATGTAAGACCAAGGAAGGAGGAGGAAGAAGAGGAAGGAGAAGTAAAAAGAAAGAAGAGGAGGAAAACAACTGATTGTCAGCCAGTGGTTTTATTTTGTGTAGATTTATGTCCTATGGCATACTATTTGGGCTCAAATATCCTTTTCTAGGACAGAAAAGAAGTTCCCATGTGTTGGTTCCATTTGTTGCGAGGAGCACATCTTTTATATGTATTTCCCAGCAGCTTAGGTGTGAGAAGGCTGAGACCCAGCAAACTGAAGGCATCTGAAATTGTCCCAGCCAGACTTTACTAGCTGTGGGTACAGATCCCTGAGCATTTAGTCTGGGAAGTATTTCCAGTCCCACTCCTGGGACACCTGGCCTGAGACCTCCCATGACATCCTGGTGGGAATCTCTCTGAGTGGCACCCCTTACGATCCTGGAAAAGGTCAGAACCCAGTCACCACCTCTCACCTCCCCACCTATCTGTAGATGAAGGATCTGAGACCCAGGGAAGTCTGGGATGGTCTTGCTCTAGGGGAGCATGGCTGGAGGTCTGGTCCCTGCACCAGGACTCAGTGGCCCTCTTGACTCCAGTGGTCTCTTTGGAAAGGGCTTATGCAGTTTAAGTAAGTCCTGAGATGATCAGCAAGAATGGATGGCTGCAGAAGCAGCAGGGGTTAATAGCACAGACTGAAATCAGGCCACATGGGCTCACATGGTGGTTCTTCTAGCTCTGTGACCTCAGATAAGTCCTTAACTTCTTCCTGCCTTTCCCAGAAAAATAGCATTATACTTCCTTTAGGTGTAAGGAAAATTATAGAACTGCAAAACCATCAGACAGTACCTGGCTCAGAGAAGGGCTATGGAAGTGCTTGTTAAATAAATAAATGAGAGCCAGGCTCAGTGGCTCATACCTGTAATCCAGCTACTTGGGTTGCAGAGATAGGAAGATCAAAGTTCAAGTCCAGCCAGCAAAAAAAGTTAGCAAGACTTTATCTCAAAGAACAAACAGGGTGTGGTGGTGCACATTTGTAATTCCAGCTACTCAGGGAGTATAGATTAGGAGGATCATGGTCCATGGCTGGTCCAGGCAAAAAGCATGAGACCCTACCTGAAAAAGAAAATAGATCAAAAATGGCTGGGGGGCACAGCTCAAGTGGTACAGTACTTGCCTAGCAAGTGTAATGCCCTGAGCTCAAACCCCGAGTACTGCAATAAATAAATAAACAAATAAAGGAGCTGGGTGTGGTGGCACTTACCTATAATCCCAGCACTTGGAAGGTACAGGCATGAGGATCGTGAGTTGGAGGCCAGCCTGGGCTACATAGAACCTGTCTCAAAAATAAACAAATAAATGAATAAATAAATAAGCAATGGAGGACTGCAAATGTAGCTTTGTGGTAAAGCGTTTGCCTAGAATGCCTAAGACCTAAGGTTTGAGGCAGGGGTTTGATTCCCTACTCTGGAAATAACTAACTAACTAACTAAATAATAAATGCCTCTGGCTCTGCCTAGTGCTAAAGGTTTGAGCTCCTGCCATTGCCACCCAGAGAGCCTGGGCAGAGGCCCCACTGGTGTTGAAGTGCACCTGCCTGCATCCTGTAAGTGGTAGCCATTGTCCAAACCACATGTCATCCTCACTTCAGCAGGACAAGGGAAGCTTTTCGTAGCTATTTCCCAAGATGAAGGAACAGGTCCTAAGAAGCCTGCACTGCTAGGGAGTGATGGGACTAGAGGGGCCTTATCCAAGACTGGGCCTGGGAAAGGTCCATCTCTTCTTTCTCAGTCTGGAGTTCAGGCCAGATGGTGCCACCAGGCTGTGTGAGACATACGCTGGTTTGAATATGTTCCCCAAAGTGCACAGGTTGGAAACTTAACTCCCAGTGCTATTGCGTAGAGAAGTGAGACCTTTAAGAAGCAATTAGGACCCAAGAGCTCTGCTCTTGTGAATGGATTAACATTATTATTGCCATGGTGGATGTTTGATAAAGGCAAATTTGGTCCTTTCTTGTACTCTCTCACCATGTGATGCTTCTGTCAGGTTATGACACAGCAAGAAGGCCCCTTTACCAGATGTGGCCTTTCCATCTGACTTCCCAGCCTTTCAGAACTGCAAGCCAAATAAACTTCTGTTGTTTATAAATTACGCAGGCTCTGGTATCGCTACAGCAGCACAAGATGGACTAAGACAAGGCACAAGCCTCACTTCCTGGAACTCTGTGTCCCTACTTACAGAGTGGCCTTGCTGGTGGTCATGAGAACCCCGTGAAGGGCACTGGACACCTCCATGCCTCTTGAACTGTCTCAGCTGGAGACAGTAGCTGGACCAGCTATTGGGTCACACACCTCTGTCAAAAGGCAGAGAGATTGAGACCATCTACTGCCACCTGGATTCTCCTGGAGCCCTCCTGGGACACTGGGCTCGGGTCCTCTAGCACCATTCTGGTAGGAATCTCTCTGAACAGCCCAGGTTTGTGGGTTGGCTTTGGGCCAGCCGTGGGCAGGGAACGAGGAGGGCAGGAGGGACACAGAGAGCTTGGCTTTTCTCCAAGAAGGAGTTGAAGGGAGAAGGTTATCAGCCTTCGGAGCTGAAGGCTGACCTTCCTTTCCTTCTCTCTGCCGGTCCACCTTCTATCTTACTGTCCCTGGCTCCAGGAAACCTAATCCCCCCTTGTTGCTGGGTGGGGGACAGGGAAACACTTTCATGGTTTGGAGCCACTGGGCAGGCCCATATTTTTAAAACAAGGAAGATGTCAAGACCTCAGGATGGAGTGTTGAAAGTTGGGAGGGACTGGACAGCAAGATCTATTTAACAGGAAAAAGTTGAGATCCAAGGCCCAGGCAAGTGAACAGTCTAGCTGGTCCCCCAGCAAGAAGAGAACAGAGCCAAGCTGGACCCTGTGTTCTCCCCATGGCCTCCCATGAGGAGTTGCCTAATGTAGTGAGATCAGTAGGGGCTTGGGGGAAATTCTTTTTCTCTCTCCCAGTCATGGGACCTTATATGACCTTGTCCTCTCCCTTCTTGGCCAGCCCCACTATGATCTGAGAGGCTGCTGTGCATCCAGCTGGTCTGGGGATATGCCGGAATCTGTGTTCCATGGGGAATGGATGTATCACTTGTAGTCTCCTGGAGTAGGGGTTCCAGAGATGTGGGGGGAAGTCTTAGCTAGTGGACCAGGGTACACAGGCCTAGAGGGCCCCTGCCTTCTCCTGGCCCTGGAGCTTCCCCATGTTCTAGCAGGATCTCATTTCTTGCAGACTTTATGTCTTGGCTCTGCAGAGGAACCTTTAGGCCACTGGCTTCCCCACTCTTGGCCTCAGTTTCTCCTTGGGCTTCCCTAAATCCCTTTCTTACCTGTTCTGCCTGTCTACTGGTTGGGCTGGACTCCAATTCCCTACATAGGGAAGTGAGGGAGATCAAGGTGTTGAGGTTTGGTTGAGAACCCACCCTGGGGAGAGAGACAGTCCCTGATATAGGGGCATTTTAGGATTATTCTGCTTGAGTTTTCCTGCTGCTAGCTGTACCCACCTCCTCCTCCTAGATATTATCTGTGGAGGATCCCCAAGGCCTGGAGGGAACACATAGCTCTTTGTCTTTGACCAAATGAGTCTCCTAACCCTGCTGAGTTAGCCACTCACCAAGTACAGGAGGCCTAGGAGCTGGGGGTTGGGGGTGGCAGGAAATGCTGTGCCCTGTAGGAGATCAGCATGGAGTGGTCCCGCTCAAGACTGTTGTAGCCTTGCCTCTGGTCAGTGCAACCTTGTCCCCAGCCCTGATGACAGCCTGGGCTCAGACATGAGCTTGCTGTGGGGCTCCATGCAGAGCTCTGCCTCTCCTGGGCTTCCACCCTGGTCCCCTGCAGCTCACTGACTTATGAAGTCCAAACCCTGCCCAGATTTGGGGCCTTGTCTAACTCTCCAGTTCACACCATTGGACCCATGACCCCCACACACACCTTGGTCTCCATGGGGCCCTGACAGGAAGGTCTGGGGGAAGATTGGCATGACTTTGATTCCTCCCTTTTGGATAGAAAAGCTCTACTCTACCACAGCAGCAGGGCTGGTACTAGTGACCCTGAGGACTTGATGCACAAAGGGTGAGGTAAGGTGGGCAGTACCCTTCGTTGGGGGTACTGGGCTATGGGTTCTGAGGTCTTCCTTACTGAGGGAAGGTGGAGCCTCCAACCTGGCATGACCTTCCTATCTCCTATGAGTCCTTTCTCTTTCCATCTACTTTGTCTCAGGCTAAGGATTTTCACTGGTTCTCTGGGTGCCTGGGGAACTTCCTGGGCCTCTACCACATGCCACCCCATATTTGTGACAGCATCCTTGAGTCAGTACCAATGAGCCATGGGGGTGATTGGTCACCTAGTGCAGCAGGCCTGGCAGCTGCAGAGCCCCAGGTAGAGGCAGAAGCATTGGTCCTAGGCTCAAGGTCCAGGCCCTCATAGATGGTGGGTAGTGAAGTACACTGGCTCAGCCAACACAGCCAACTAGAAGGGACTGGGGCAGCCAGGTCACATCTGTGTTGTTGCCCAGTTCCACCCAGGTCAACAGAGGGAACTTGATGGTATCTTTAACAGCCTTGGTGAGTTTGCAGGTGGTAGTCTGTGTCAGCCTAGTACTGTGGAGCAGCAACTGGGCGAGGCAGGGCAGCGCCCACAGACTGGGCAGCAGCAGGTGCAGCAGCTCATCTCTCAGCTCTGTGACGCTCAGGTCTAGCACCGCCAGACCAGTGCTGTGGCTGCTCAGTGGGTTGTGTGCTGAACATCTCATGATGATAGTGGGATCCCTGAAAGGGCCACAGTCTGCCCCACCAGCAGAGTCTTCTGGAGGCAGCTCTTGAGGCCGTAGAGGGACGCAGGTGAGATGGATTGAGCAAGCACCCGGGGCCCAGGGCCAGCCAGGACACTAGCCACCACCTGCCATGGGCAGTCCAGGCTCTTCAGTCTGGCAAAGTTAGGTTCCAAATGTTACTGTTTAAGGGAGTAACCATGAGCAATTCTGGGAACCTCTCTGAACTTTAGTTTCCCCTTTGGTGAAAAGCAGACAGAGTTGTTGTGAGGATTAAATACACACATGCCAAGGCTCAGTGCATAAACTATTATTATTGTAAAACCTTACTGTCTGCCCAGCATTGCCACACCTGCTATATCTGTTATCTCACTTATTTTTACACCAGCCCCGGGGGTAAAGAATGATGACACATTCTCTGAAGCTCAGAGAAGTGAAGAAATTCTCCAGTAAGGGAGGATCAAGTCTCCAAATTGAGGTACTCTGACTCCTGAATGCACATTTATTTCCTGTGTATCCTTTAAGATAAGGAGACACTTTCCTGTGAGGGGATAGGGTATCAGGCTGGTTCTCTCAGACTTTGGGGGCTAGAGAGGGAAGAGGCTCAGGGTAGTGACAAGGGAGGCATTGGGAGTGGGCAGCCTACCATGGGCAAGGACTCCCTGTTTTAAGCTGAAACGTACATTTATAGTCTGGGGAGGGTCCCCCAGGGCCCTCTGCATAGCCCCTCCTGTCATCTAAAGAAAGCCCACTAGGCAGATAGGCCTGATGGGGAGTCTAGGAACAGTGAACATACTACCAGCATGTTTACCATGGCAGGGAACAATTCTATGGGCTCTGAGTTCAACTTGGGCCACCAGGCCCCATGTGGGAGAGGAGTGGAGGGTTAAGTAGGAAACATGTGCCAGAGTTAGCTCCCACCTCTGGTTCTGGATCTCTGGGCCTTGGTGCCTATAGCCAGTTCTTGGCTGAGTCTGTGCCATGAAGCTGTGATGGAGTGACCAAGGGGATACCTCACAGCAGAATGCGCTACCAGGAAGCTGTGGAGGTCTCAGTTTAAGGCAGTTTGGTGTTGGTGAAGAACTCCCAGAGACTGTAGGGTAATCAGGGAAGGTGTGAACTTGGGACAGCCACTTTCCCTTTCTGGCCTCAGCTTCCTTCCCTGTAAAATGGGAATTGGGACCCAAGGCCTGCCTCCCTCACTACCTGTTGTGAAGATTTACCTGTTGTACCTGGGGCTGAAGAGGTCCAGGTCCTGTGAAAGGCCAGAGATAGAGGGACAAGTAGATGACAGGAGGTGGTACCATCCCGGAAGAAATGGGGGAAGCAGTTCACAACAGAGTGTGCAGCTTGGCTTGGGAGGTATCTGCTGCTATCAACCAGACTGGCTTCCAGGGTTGGAGCCTCAATGCAGATGAGGGTGAAGTGAGAAAAGTCTAGGTGTCAACCTGAGAAGGGACCCTGAAGGGACAGTTAGAAGAGGCTGGGCTCTGGGTAATGCTGAGCCCTTACTGCTGCTTGGAGTGAGGAGTAAGGTGGTAGATGAGCTGCTGGCAGATCATGTCTGAAGACTTCCAGAACTCATATCCTTTGAGGTGGGTAGCTTTGTCAGGGTGAGACTGGGCCCCTCTTGTACCTACCTCAGCTGTAACTTGGCATAGAGCCAGGAGAGGCTGCCTGCTGGGAGCTGGACAGGCTGGTCTGAGGCCCGCAGTGACCAGCGGGAGGAAGCCCAGACAATGGGCCCTTGTTCCCTGTCCTCAGGCCTGAGTCCAGCAGCTCGGGCTACCAGCCGGCAGCCTGCCCACCCTCGGCATCCCCGGGGGACTTGCCACAAGGGAGAGGCCGGACCAGGCCCCTCGAGGGAGCCCTGCTCCACAGACGCCAACCCTAGGGAATAGGAACAAGCCAGGTCAGCATGTTCTTCTTCCTCTCATCCCCCCAAGCTATATAACCACCATGGGGCCCTGGGTCTGGGATGACAGGGCTGGGGGTTTAATGTTTTACAGCACAACACCCTGGTTCTCTCTTGGTCCTGACCAGGCCCCCACAGAGGCCCAGCTTGGGACAGAATACAGGGTGTGCTTTCCACACAGCTGGCACTGAGCATGCTTCACTACCCGGAACGTTCTTTTGTACTGTTCCTGTTTGCAGCCCCAGAGACAACAAACTGTGGTTACTGTGGACTAGCCAACTGCAAATAGATGCGGGAGTTCAGAGCTGGCAGAGCTGATAGTGGATGTCCTTATTTCAGCTGACTAGGTGTCAGGGGCTGGTGACTGGCCACAGACACAGAGTCCAGAACTATGTCTGTGCTCACAGACAGACTTCTGCAGGTGTCAGAACAGAGCCCAGGGAGGTGGGGGTTGCAGGTAGCAGACTCCAACTTAGCAAAAGAAGGGACTTTATTGTGGTCCAAGTTGTGGGAGGAATGCAGTGGACAACCATGCCCAAGGATGTCCAAGCAGGATGGAGACCAGTGGACAGGGGCTCTAGCTTAGGGTAGCTCTCTTCTGGCCCAGGAATGAGAGTCTAGGAATTCTGTTTTGTGAGTGAATTTGTCAGAACAGTCTGTGATCTACAGGGTCCCTGTCTGACTTCTGTTCAACTAGGGACTCCAGGCCTGGCATACAGTGCAGTCACTTGAGAAACAGGTGACTTACACAGTCACACTTTTTTTAATCTTTATTCATTTATTCATATGTGCATACATTGGTTGGGCCATTTCTCCCCTCTGCCTCCCGCACCCTCCCTCTCCCCCCATCCCCCTTGATTCCAGGCAGAACCTGTTCTGCCCTTTTCTCCAATTTTGTTGAAGAGTAGATATAAGCAATAATAAGAAAGACAAAGCATTTTTGCTAGTTTGAGATAAAGATAGTTATACAGAGAGATTCCTAGCATTGCTTCCATGCACAAGTGTATTACAACCTGAACTGATTCATCTCTACCTGACCTCTTCACTACTTCCCAGTCACCTTCCCATATTGACCTCTGTCACTTTAAGGTTACTGTATTAGCTCCTCTGCAGTGAGGACATCAAACACTTTCAAATTTTGGGTTTCCTACCTTTCCCGATTCCTCCTATATATGCTCTCCCCTTAGCAGTCATACTTGTTCTTGAAGCTGGCATCAGATCTCAGAGAGGGATAGCCTAAGTCCACAAAGCAAATCACACAAGGACCTAGACTCCTAGCCCTTGTCACATACTGCTCAGCCTGGGGCCCATGCCTGTTGGCCTCTTCTTCTTGGGCATTGGAGGTCCCTGGTCTCCCAGTAGGTCATGGGAGATGGGGTCTACCAGACTGAAAGGAAGACCACATTCCTATAAAGGATGTTGGTGAGGAGGGTCCCCTCAAAGCCCAGGTCCTGTGGGTGGGGAAGAAGTAGTTGAGTGAGCTATGAGTCAGGGCCTCCCTTCTTTAGGCCAATCAACTGGATGCCCCTCATGTTGGTTTCCATCTTCCTTCCTGAGGCTTTCTGGAGTCTCTCCACAGGCACAAAAGCCAATTGTCCAGAAGCAGGTGCGCCCTTTAAATGCGTGAGGAGCATATCATGGCCTTAAGAAAGCAATAAGCAGATCACTCGGATGTATCTTGCTGTGATGTGATTTGGTGCCTTCATGGGTTAGGGTTTGCCAGGGGATTCTGCTTCTCTGATCACCACCAAATTCCGATGTCCCCAGCATTCCCTGCAGGCCTTTTACCTTCTCTCCTATCCCTGAGGCCTCTTGAACTGCAGCAACTACCTGTTTGCTTGTGGGGGTGGATCTCTCTCCCAGCTCAGTGTCTCAAAGGCAGCACAGACTCAGCCTATTCATCAACAGCCCTGAAGCGGCCTTCTTTTCCTGTGCTGCAGTCTAGTCCTGGGGTTACCATGCCCATCTTCCTAGGAATCACCCACTATTCTTCCTCATCCTCTTCTCTAGCAGTTTCCCTTCTTCCTCTCCACCATTCCTGCCAAGGTTCAGGCCTGACTGCCCAGCAGCCTCCTCCCAGGACTCCCAACCTCCCACATCCTTCAGGCTGTCAGACCTTCTCTATGAAACACACACTTGAGTTTGACCCTTAACCTGGTTGGTGGAGACCAAATACTCTAGAAGTTGTGTGACATCAGAGACTTACACACAGTTTGCAGAGTCAGGGCTCCCTGACTTGGCCATCACACTCTCCTTGCTCACCAGCCTTCTCTCTCCTTCCCTGTGACCAAGCTTTTGGTCAGGGTCCTGACCTGGCCCTCCTGCTTTTAGCCTTTGACCTTCCATGTCTAGTCCCACAGGCTTAGTGTGGGGCCGAGCATCCTTCCAGAGGGCCCATTTAGAGGACACACTGACATGTGATGGAGCAGCACAGTCAGGAGGTGCCTCCAGCCTCTGTGTGTATCTTCTCTAAGCTAGAGAGCAATGTGTTTTGTACATAATGTAAGTCCTGAGCAAGGAAGATGGGCCAGATAGGAGCATCATGGGCTGTAGCTGCAGGAACCCAGCAAGTTACTGGCTAAATAGGACTCAAATCCCAACCTCTGGAACACAAGTGACCTAGCTAGTCTCTGAGGGCCCTTCCCCCTAGATGTTGCCAGGGAAAATGCCCAGCTGGTCCTTGGGCTCCAGACACCATCCCAGACATGGATCTGTGCCTTGAGTTGATTGGATGTTGCTCTGCTTTTGCTGTTTGTATTTTCAACATGGTTTAAGCCACAGTTGCCAGTTAGGAAGGATCCAGAAGGAAGAAAGGGTGGCTAGTGAGTCCAGGCAGACCCAGACAGGGCCCTAGACCACAGTCTGCCTTCCACTGCTCTGAACAGCTCCCCTTAAAGGTCCAGCTCCATGCTTCCAATTTGCGTTGCCCAGAGAAAAGAAATGTGGAAAGGGTGTGGGGCTAGGAGGGTGGGTTCTTGCCCTCCCTCCCTTCCTTCCTTCTCCTTCCCTTCTTCCTTCCCTCCCTCCTTTCCTCTCTCCCTATTACTAACAAGCTATGTTGGTCTCTGTCTCTTTCCTTTCCTTTTCCTTCCTTCCTTCCTTTTTCCCTCCCTCCCTTCCTTTCTTCTTTCCTTCCTTCCTTCCTTCCTTCTTCCTTCCTTCCTTCCTTCCTTCCTTCCTTCCTTCCTTCCTTCCTTCCTTCCTTCCTTCCTTCCTTCTTTCCTTCATCATGCTGGGGATTGAACCCAAGGCTTCTTACACACTAAGCAAGCACTCTACTACTAAGCTACATTCCTTTTTTTTTTTCTTTTATTATTCATATGTGCATACAAGGCTTGGTTCATTTCTCCCCCCTGCCCCCACCCCCTCCCTTACCACCCACTCCACCCCCTCCCGCTCCCCCCCCTCAATACCCAGCAGAAACTATTTTGCCCTTATCTCTAATTTTGTTGTAGAGAGAGTATAAGCATTAATAGGAAGGAACAAGGGGTTTTGCTGGTTGAGATAAGGATAGCTATACAGGGCATTGACTCACATTGATTTCCTGTGCATGGGTGTTACCTTCTAGGTTAATTCTTTTTGATCTAACCTTTTCTCTAGTTCCTGGTCCCCTTTTCCTATTGGCCTCAGTTGCTAAGCTACATTCCTAGCATCCTCTCTCAGTTTTCTCAGTGAGCGATAGCTCACCACTTCCCTCCATGCCTCAATTTCTCTATCTCTAATCATTTGCCTTCTGCAGATCAAACACCTGCATGACTGGTTTCAGCTCACAAGATGGGACAGCTGCTGCAGGGGGTGGGGACAAGGCAGAAGTAACTTGGCCAGGGGTGGTGCTGGGACCCATACCCCTGTCTCCTAGGGCAACCCAGGGCTCAGGCTCTCTGGCTAGTGTAGCAGGAGTGTGTGGGATCAGAGTGTCCACAGGTCCAGATGTGTGCTTGTGATGTACAGATGCCAGAGGTGTGTACTAGGTGGCTATGGGCTGCCTGTTAGGATGGGTGATGAGTGCCTTGTGGCTTTGTTTGGCCTGCTATGGGATCTCCTGCTGCATCCAGCCAACCAGCTGGGCTGTGCCTCCCAGGGTCCTCTGTCCTGGTCCAGAGCTTCTCCTCATTCTGAAGGAGGGGGGAGCTGTCCTTTCCCCACTGCCCTTCAATAAGAAATATCTCTCATTCAAGTCCCTCCTTTCTTGCTAAGGCCTGAATTTGGGCTCTTAGCGCCATGTTTGGGGCATCCTCAACACACACATACACACACACACACCCCAGACCTCAAATCCCAGCGCCGCCGAAACACTGGTCCATCCTCCTCCATACACAGTCCTTCAGCCTCTCTGCTCTTCACTCTAACCGGCGCCCTCCCGCCCAAGCAAGAACCTCAGTCCCTAAAAAGCCTATGTCGTGCTCTCGGAACCCACACGCCCCACAGCCTTGAGCCCCGATCCCTCCCGGGCTGCCGGCGCCTGGGGGCCCGCTCCTTCTCTCGCCTGGCGCAGTAGGCGCAGCAGCTGCCGGGCGCGCACGGGCTGCAGCTGGCGGAGCATCGACCGGATTTCACCGATGCAGCGGCCCGGCGCTCGTAGGACGCTGGCCCGCAGCCCGTCTCGGCTTTGGACTGGCGAGCCGCGCCTACATGGTCGCAGGGCAGCAGGCGCCGGGCGGGCGGGAGGCCGGGCTGTCTGCGCCCCGCCCCAGACAGGGATGCGCAGAGTCAGGATCGCCAGGTCCAAGGCTGCGCGCCCACGCGTCAGCCACAGGGCTTTGGGACAAGGTGGGGATGGATCGTCGGTTTGGCCGGCCGGGGTGTCGTTGGGGAAAACCCCACCCACATCAGACCTGGCGCTGGAGCGCTTCCGAAGGGACACCAGGAGAAATGCTGAGCCCGCCAGGATGAGGAGGCGTTTGGCACCTCTCAGCCCTCTGGCCCCAGTGCTGACTGGGGAATAGTCACCCTGACTGTGCATAGAGCACTCTGGGAGGGGTGGGGGTGCTTTAGGCGATGTCAGCACCTGTTTTCAGGAATCGCCCCTGCGGCGCGTATTTGTCTGACCTGTCCACCCTGCATGATACTACTGCCTTGGCAAATCCTCAGTGGCACTCCCTGTTTGGCCTGGGCAGGCTGGGTGGAGCCCACCCCCCTCTCTGACCCCCTGCCTGGGAGATGAACGGGTTGAGGCATGCTGGTTAACCGTTAAGCCCAGCTCTGGGCAGCCTGGCAGCAGGCCTTGCTTCTGTCCCTGGTTCCAGTCTTCCTGCCTGACAAGGGGAGGGGCCCTGGCTCCTCTAGGGACCTGCCTAGCTAGAAGGGAATCCTCACCTCCCAGGGCTTTCTCAGCATTTCCTCTTGGAGGCTTGCTGTCTGTGCAGCCCTCACCTCTGGGCTCCTGTCATTACTCTGGTGGGGTCATTTGTGGCTGTGGTTGTCAGTCTTCACTCCCACAGGCAAAGAGCATGTGACCAGCCTGTGAGATTGGATGAGTGTGCAGAAGGGCTGAGGTGTGTGACCAGAGACTTATCTTCGGGTATATAGTGAGAGATGACTGCCAGGATCCTTCTTTTGGGTGAGACATTCTTGCCCAGAAATTGGGGGTGGGGGTAGGGAACACGGTAGCCAGGTTTTGTGATCTTCTGGGGCTGAGTCCCTTAGACAAGGCAGAAGACACCCACTGATTCCTCTAATCCGTATTAGGCCAATTCCTGGGTTCCCTTCTCCCCAGCAGCCTCCCGTCCTCCTCCACTTAGTATTTTCCTAGGGCCACCTTGGCACAGCAGGTTTCCTGCATGACTGTCCAGTCTTCCCTCCCCCAGGGCCAAGGCGCTGTGCTGAGTTGACACTGTGTTGGTGCCAGAGCTTTAAGCAGCAGCCCCAGTGCCTCAGAGACCTCTCAGACCCCCCTACCCAGAGTTGGCAGCCAGGTAAGCCCTCCTTCTCCTCCCCTGTATGTTCAGGGCTGGAGCCAAAACTGGATGGATCCCAGATCCTGACCAGATGGCTCCAGAGGCTGAGCCAGGCCTGGACAGCAATCCCTTGAGTATGAAAAGACTGAAGTGGGGAAGGAGGATTGAGCATGGCTGTCAGGAAGGGAGCAACCTAGGCAGGGCATAGGGGTGGTACCCACAGCTAGAGTCCTGCGACAAGCAGAGAACTGCCCCAAGCCCCAACTTCCGCGTTCCTGGCTGAGAGGCTATTTTTCCAGGAAAGGAGGGAGTGTGGTATCTGGCCCAGGCCCCTAGATGGGCCTCCCTTAGCCTGCTGTGGGGGTACCTAGGGTGAGTTGGCTCTTGTGAACTATTTCTGGCTTAGCCTGTTTTACACTGGAGTCCCCAGAGACACAGCTGTACTGTCAGGAGTAGGGCTATCATTCCACCTCACGCAGCCTCCATGTATACTTCACTAAAGGCTTCTGGCATCTCTTCCTCAAATTGACCTGGGCAGCAGAGCTTGTGAAGATCCAGTGGGGTAGAGGGACTTCAGTGTTGCCCTCTCAGCCCCTAGGGATGATGTACAGTATGGGGGGTTGACCTGAGTCCTTCATGACTGCCCTGCCATTCCTAGGGAGCCACTGAGGTTGGTTGGAGGAACAGAGAGTCAGATAGGTAGGATATAGTCAGACACCAGGCATTGATGAAAGCATACAAGACCCAAGTGGGACCTGCCACCAGATAGATATTGGTGACAACCACACCTTGGGTGGCTTGCCCTTAGCTGTCCATGTGGTGATCCAGTTGGAGTGATAGGGATCCAAGGTCTAGAGTGGAGGGTTGCAGCTGGGGCTGGAACTGGACCAGCCTCTACCTTTGGGCCCTTTCTCTACTCACCCAAAGGGACATCCAAGTCCAGGAGGAATAAGTCAACTCAGGGCTGATGTTATCTCAGCAGGTAGCCAGGTAACATAGAGCTTCTTGGTAGCCATGGCAAAGAAAGATGCAGAATGATTTCAGAACCTTCACTAGAAGGAAAGAGACAGATAGATAGTCTATGGAGACAAAGTTTCTCCAAGCTTGCTCTGCAAGGATGGGGTTGTCAGCCTCTGGCAGGGATCGTCATGAAGGAACAGCAAAGTTCCTTCATATGGGATAGGGACAGCACATATATAGGCTCAGGACTGGATTCAAATCCTCTGGGCTGCCCTTTGTTGAGGATATAACCATAGACAAGGCTCACAGCGATATTAGTTTCCTGTGGCTGCCATAGCAAATTGCCTCAAGCTCGGTGGCTTAAAACAAGAGATGTATCTTCTCATAGTTCTAGAGACTAGAAGCTTGACATCAGGGTATCACCAGAGCCACACTCCCTGAATGCTCCGGGGTAGGAGTCTTACTGTCTTTTCCAGCTATCTTTGGTGCTCCTTGGCTTGCAGCTGCATCGCTCCAATCTCAGCCTCCATCATCACACAGCTGTCTTCCCTGGGTGACTATCTTCACATGGCCTTCCTGTAAGAACACTCGCTAATGAATTTGGGGCCCACCCTAGTCCAGTATGATCTCATCTTAACTAAATACTTATGCAAAGACTCTCTATTTCTAAGTAAGGTCATATTCTGAGCTTCTAAGTGAACATGAACTTGGTGGCGGGAAGGGTACTGTTCAATCCACATAGTGGTCTCTTCGAATCTTAGTTTCTTCATCTGTAAAATGGGGGGAATAAAATGCCCATCTGGCAAAGGTGTTTAAAAGGCCGTAGAAGCCATAATCTTCTGTGGCTTCTTTCTTTTTTTATGTGCTAGGGTTTGAACCCAGGACCTTATACATGGTAGGCAAGCACCTACCACTAAGTCGCATCTCTATTCACTCTTCTATGACTTTATATGGAATGCACTCAGCCCCCCACAGCCAACTTCTGTCCATTCAGGGATGATTCCTGGGGATACTCCACAGGCTAAGACACACAGAGGAGGTGGCAGCAACAGCTTGTTCACAGAGTTGAGCTGGATGAGGGCAAAGGAACACTTCAGAAAGTTGTATTGAGGTCGGGGCCTGAAAGAAGAGTGCTTCAGGCCAAGGCAGTAGCCTGTAAAAAGTCCTGGCTGGAGCATTAAGTGCAGAGGAGATGGGCAGGCACCAGCAAGGCAAGAATTTCTCCGAGGGCAAAGGGGGCCTCTGAAAGGTGTTCCAATGGGGGAGGGACGTGCTCAGATTTGCATGCTGAGAACTGGGGCTACATTAGGGGGACAGCATCAGGGTTGCAACCTATAACTGGGAGTCACCAGGTATTAGGAGTGGTCGTTGGGAGCTGGGGGGGGGTCAGGTGTGACTGGGTGGGAGTCATAGATAGAAATAACTGGAAGGGAACAGTGAGGATGTAGGGGTGCCTACTTAGGGCTGGTGGAGGTCTGGGGAGGGCAGTTGCTTAGCTCAGGTTTGGGCATGTTGACCTGGGGTGTCTGAAACATCAGCCAGTGGTTCAGTCTTGGACTCATCATTAAGAGAGTAACTGAGCCCAGCATCCAAGAGGTGAGAGAGGCAGAGAAGGCTCTGCAAAAGAGGGGAGCTCTGGAAGCCTGGGTGAGCTGAGCAAAGTGTGCATGGAAAGTGTGGGGCAGTTTGAGCACTGGTGAAGTCATGCAGAGTAATGGGTAGATAGATAGGCTTGGTGTGTGACTGGGAAGCTGAGACAGGAGTGGGTTGGTTCTCCTAGAGACCGGGACATGTGACAGGGTGGGACTGGGACATGGATAAGACTCAGCCTTTCTCCTCCAACCCTCTGGAGCTCCCAGACACTGCAGATAATTACCAGGTAATATAATAAATGCCAGCTGGAGAGGGTGACATGGGCAGAGCAGACAGGATGGCCAGGAAGTGGGCACTTTGGAACTCTGCTCTGAGTTGTTCATCAGGCCACAGAGGTAGCTGCAGACCCAGGGTTTGGAGCTGGGGCAACCCCTGTGAGGCTTTGGAGAGGGGTTGAATGTCTCTTGCAGTCTGTGCACAGCCATCCCAGTCAAACTTCTAGTTACTTCTGCTCTCCACATAGGAAACTGAGACCAGGAAAGGGGAGCTGTCTAGATCCTTACCCATTAGTGACAGGGGAAAGGTTTGAATCTAGGGACTCTAGGGCTTGTACTCCTGCCACTGAGTTTGCGAGCTGGATGTCATCCATCAGGTGCCAGACCAGGCCTGCTGCTCAGTGCTCCCAGGCATTAATGAGTGGGTAATTCTAGAGGCCCACGCTCTTGGCCAAGCTCCAGACTCCATCTTCACGTCAAAGATGGATGCAGAAATAGGGAATGCTGCAAATGGTGCCAGGAGGTGTTGACCAGGCTCTGGGGGCACAGGAGCTCTGCTCATACTATAGTCAGTCAATGTTTACTTCTTGACCACCACGGGGTGATGTCAGCCTCTTCACTGAGATAGACTCTTCCTTCCATTTTTAATATGTGGTCTGTGTGGTTCTGAGAGGCCGGTGGGCCTGGTAACCACAGGGTCTGTGTCTGCTTTTCTGCTATATGGCTTCAGACAGTGGGCAGGGTCTGAGGCCAGGCCCACTGGAAACAGGCTGGCTCATGCAGCCCACAGAAGGCATTACAAAGAGGCAGATTAGGGCTTGACACTGGGAAGAACTAACCAACCACCCACAGTCTTGCTGTCTTTAGAGGTGAGGAGGTTACCATTAGAGCAGGTGTGTAAGATGATCTTTTCTGGAGTGGACCAAACATTTGAGATTCTGTTATCCTAAAGTTGATTAAGATGCTATGCTGTTAAGATTCTATGCTTTTAAGATTTGAAGTCACTTTCATTCCATCAGCTTATTAAGAATACAAAATGTCCTGGATGATATCAGGTTTCCTGGGAGGTCCCGAGATTCTGTCTGCAGTATGCAACTGCTGCTACTTGTATCAGGACCCGCCTACTTTGCTTACTCATGCTGAGACTTAGGATGTCACTGGCTTTATCAGCCATGGCCCTTGTGGTGGCTCACTTGGGGTTCAAGTCTTGCTCTGCATTTCCTGGCACTCAGGTGTTG